TTCCCTTCCATGATCACTTTGACCTTGCGGGAGAGCCGGAAGTCTCACGGTGCCAGGCCCAGGGAGTAAAATGGGTGAGGACGCACATATGTGTTTATGAGCCTGCCTTTCTGTTGTCTGGTTCATGGTAGCAGCGTTCATTGCATCTTTTATTACAATCCATGAAGACACTCATGAAAGAATACTTCCAGAGCTGCTTCAGAAAGTGACTAGAATGATGGGATAAGTATATTCAAAGCAATGGGTGGTAGCTCGGGGGTGGAGGGAGTGAGTGTCTTTTACTGTAGTAATTTTTAAAATTTAAATATTCAGCATTATTTTAATTTTAAAAATTTTTATTAGTACATGTTTGCTGTACATAATGATTACATTCATCACGTGGAGTTGGCCCATGGACGTAACACATCTTAATTCTTTTACCTGCCCTTTCCCCTCCCCTGCAAATATACACTCTACCCTGTATATTTTGACTCTACTTCCTATGGGCACAAGCGTGACTGGCCAGGTGTCCTTTGTTTTAAAATTTCAAAGAGTCCTCAGCTAAAAGCCACTGTGCTTTTGCTGAGCCATTGAGGCAGAAACACTCTTGTTTGCTCAAGCTTCTTTGGAGATAACACTTCAGAGCCCTGGTGTGGCCTGCAGAGCTCCCTGCTTCCCCAGAATCCTGCAGGTTGTTTCTAACCAGGTGTCAGCACTCCCTTCTGCTCAGAAAAGGATAGGAATCTCTTTCCCGAGCCACCCCATCATCCCTCCGCATCCTCGGGCACATGGGGTGAGAGAACAACTCAGGTCATCCAGCGAAGATGGGTGCAGAAGATGGATGAGGCCGCGTGCAGGATGTCAGAAGTAGTGTGTTGCAAGGGAGACATGGTTCTTGTGGCTGGACGGGGTCGGATGTAACTTTCATGCAAGTTGCTTGGATTCCTGAGTTTCTTTCTCCCTTCTGTAAAATGGGACCATGATAACAGCTTGACAAGGGCTGCTGTCCTGATCAAGTGAAGTGCTTGCACTCTCTTCCTCCTGTATTGCAGGCGTCCTGGACAGTGGCATACAGGACAGGGTGTTCCCATTGTCCTCTTCCCTGATTTATAAGAAGGGAAATTGTGAGCGGAAGTCCCTGGGATAACGTCTGTGCCTCCGGAGCAGCCAGTACTAGCTCAGCCTGAGGGCATGTGTGCCAGAAATGCTGACTCTTTAGAAACCATGTGGCTCTAGTTTATCCCAGTGCCCACCGAACACCATTGCACATTGAGAGAATCCCTTCCGAGTTCAGCATTTCTGGATACCTTTCCCAAATCAAGTGTAAAAAGCTCTTGTCTGTAAAGGCATCTTTCCCACCCCCACTGGATTTCTCTGTTCTGTAACTGCACTGTGTACCCAGCTGGCAGCTGCACCAGTCAGACCTGCGGTGACTGGAGTTTAGGCCCAGTTTTATTTTTTCTTCCAACTCCAAAGCTTACAAATCCTACTACAAGCGTACACATGTACAGAAGGCAGATGTGTGGATAAAACCCAGCCCTCTAGGGGAGAGAGACTGCAAAATTACCTGGAGCGAGGCCAGACTGGACAGTCTGCAGTGCCTCCCCGCCCCCCGGGACCTAGTTGGGGCCAGACCTCAGGAGTGGTTTTGGCCTTTTGATATAGCATTAGCAATCCCATGGGACAGTCGCTACACCTCCCACTTGGGGAAAAGCATTGCACAATCTGTGATCATGCAGGCTTGAAAGATTTTTCTGTGCAATCAGAGGAACATACAACCACAGGGAGATTCTGGAAAACTTGCTTCCCAAGGAAGCTGAAGGTCAGGACTGGGATGGATGGTAGTTATGTGTGTCTGATGCAAAAAAACTGCTCTGGTCAAAGAAACAGCGACTTCAGGATATATTTCTAACGAGCACACAGAGTAGGGGAGAGGTTACTGGGCCGTTTATATCATCCACCAAAAGCTTTTCCAGCTCTGATATGTGAGATGACTTTGGGATGACTTATAAATAATGTATTTATTCGTTCAACAAATGTTTATTGAGAACCTATTATGTACTTCATAGGTATGCAGGAGAGCAGGCAAACACATTTTTCTAAAAAATCCCTGATCTCATCAAACTTACATTCTAGCAGGAAACATCCAGAGTAAACAAAATCAATAATTAAGATGGGAATTACAAAGCATGTGGTGTAAAATGCTGAGGAACAGAAATGAAGCAAGGGTACAAGGTATGACATAGTGGAGAAAACAGGCACTGTGATTTTAGGGACAGTTGCCAGGCAGGGCCTCACAGGCCAGAAGTATACCCCCAGCCTCCACCCCCGAGATTTTCTTTCTTTTTGTCTATTTGAGACAGGGTCTCGCTGTGTAGTTCAGGCTGGCCTTAAGCTCACTTTGGAGCCCAGGCTGGCCTCGAACTTGCAAGGATCCTCCTGCCTCAGCCTCCCGAGTACTGCGATTATAGGCGTGCGCCACGACACCCGGCCCCTGAGATTTTCATAGGTGTTGCTCCATCGTGTTTGGTGACTGGTTGCTGTTGAGACCCAGATGCCTCTCCAGTGCCTGTTCCTTTCTACGCGACCCCACTCTTCCGTCATGCCTGTTGGCGGGAGGTTTTAGGGACTTCTGTTTCTCCTCGTCCATTTGTAGTGTCTCAATGACAAGGCTGAACATGTTGGGCATTGCATGGACCTTTTCAATCTGCAGTCTTTTGTACTTCAGTTTCAAGGAACTAAAGAAAATTCTTGCTGGGCGTGGTGGCGCACGCTTGTAATCCCAGCACTCCAGAGGCTGAGTCAGGAAGATTGTTGCAAGTTTGAGACCAGCCTTGGCTACAAAATGAGCTCAAGGCCAGCCTGAACTGCATAGGGAGACCCTGTCTCAAAAAGACAAAAAAAATTTTTTTATAATATTTTTGGAAAACTCTTTTTGCAGGACTCTTCTATCCACATCCCCTTCGCTAAGAATGTGGCTGCTCTGATTTCACTCTCTGGTTCTCTTACTGCTCTCCTGCGATTTCTGGGATTTCACTGACTCTTTCTTCACTGAATTTTTAATTTCTGTTAGGGAGTTCTCAAAGCTCACTGTTGCTCTCCAAATGCTGTCCTGTCCAGACTTGGCTCATCTGTCCTCAGTTTCTGTTTTCTGTTTCTTTGGGTATTTTCTTGCATGGTAAAGGCTTTTATAAAATATCTGTTAATCCTTGGAAGTCTACTGCGAGACTAGGTCATTCCATTTGCGAGTTTTTATATATGGTGACCCGTGTAGCTGTTTCATGACGGAGTGAACAGACACAATCCTAACATCACCTTCACCTAGCCAGCCCGCTTTCTCGGGGGCTCCTCCAGTCCCCTGACTGTGGCAGCCCCTGTGCTGGCTTCCTGTTAGCATTTTCCCCTGCGCCTGGTCAGCCAAGGTCCAACCTTTGACTGGAGCTCTTCAGTCTCCTACTGTGGATGGATCAAGGAGGAGTCCCTTGACTGGGTGGGGTGGGGAGGGAGAGAAAGAAGGACATCTTGCTGCACCACTGGGCAAAAAGAAAGTTCAGTCAGGCCTCATGCTTCCAACTCCCTCTGCATTCCTATCTTCAGAAGCACCCAGTGCCTCATTTCTTGAGCTGCTCTGGCCCTGTGTTTTATGTTGAGTTCTTCCCTTGAAGACTTGAACATCAGCTTCCTCTCATCTGCTGTTTTATTAGTTCGATTCTTTGACTTACGCTCTTTTAAATTCATTGTCATTTTAATGGAATTTATAGAAGTAAATACGGGTGTTATAGGAACTGCCATATTTAGCCATAAGTTTTTGTACTGTCTTTTTAGTCTCTCCTGGCAAAGCTTCTCCTAGGAGTGGCCACCTTCCCCCTAGTGGGTTCTCACTGAGTCAGATTCAAATTCTGTGTAGGATCTTAGACTTCTAGTTTCAGTTGTCCGCTCTAAATAACAAATGGGCAAAGACACAGTGGCTTGCAACACCTCCAGTCACTTATTGGCTCAGCTCTGCAACTCCAGCTGTGCCCGGAGGGGGCTTCTCGCTTCTATACAGAATCAGCTGGGGCTGCCTGGGGCTGGGGAGTCCACTCTCAAGTTGCTCATTCACACGGCCGACCAGGATGCAGAAGTGGAGCAGTCGCGTAGGGCTTTGGTTCCTCTGCATGTGCCCTCTCCCTGTGCCTTGATTCAGTTCCTCAAGGCTGACTTCTAGAAGGGAACATCCCAAGACCCAGCTCACCAAGAGGACAGACTCCAATGTGCATGCAAATATCAAATCTTCATTTTGTATCACACTTGTTAATTTCCCAATGGCCAAATCAAATCACATGGCCAAACCCAGAATCAGTGTGGAAAGGGACTATACTGGGCCATGAAATATGAAGACGTATGGTTCACTGGAGGTCACCTGCCCCTGGGAACTCCACCATTCTGTGGTTTGCTGCATGCGTTTTTCTTTGTGTAATTGTCTTGTACCACTTTATTTCTGAAATATTGGGGTGCCAGACTCTTTCCTCCCGGATAGTTTAATATGGTATAAACATGCAATAGCTACCTGTTAAAGCCACAGAAATATGGAAGCACTGCCACTTAAAATGTTTCTGAATGGACTGCAAAGAATCCAGCTCTATAGCTTACCTGTTGCTGTAATGATCACGTTCCTAGTTAATGAACATAGAAAAAATAACCCTACAGGGACCAAGTTCTAAATGCACTTTCCAAGAGAATTAAGTGTTACCTTTTGCCTTAGCCTGCCATAGGTTATTAGCTCCTTGTCCTTTTGGTTTTAAAATAATCCAAAATTAGCTTCTTTAGTACCTACCTGGACTCCAAAGAATAAAAGTGAGTGCTTATGCAATAACTATATACTGTAGTTCATTTTTTAGACAATCTAAACGTACATCCCTTGATGTGTGCTTTTCAAGCCTTTCCTGTACATACATGAATGCTTGTAGCAGTGGCTTAATTTGCCCACCATGTTCTGAGAGTCTTGATCTGTGGCTGACACCTGTCCCTTTTGCCTGTAGGGGTTCTCTATCTCCAGTATGGAGACGAAACCAAGCAGCTCAGGATGCCGAATGAAATCACAAGCGCAGACACAATCCGCGCTCTCTTTGTAAGTGCCTTTCCCCAGCAGCTCACCATGAAAATGCTGGAGTCACCTAGTGTCGCCATTTACATCAAAGACGAAAGCAGAAATGTCTATTATGAATTAAATGATGTAAGGTAAGTAGTTACATCATTTACTTGTTTTTTGCTTCTCTGTTGTTGCATTTAGAGTGCGTTTGTTGGTTTTTCTTTCCCCATACTGTAGTTCCAAGGTTTTGTTGAACACTATATTGCATTCGTAGAATCTACCGAGCCCCCTACTTTTTGCTTATCCCTGTGAAGAAAGCACAACTATTATGGCGATTAGCAAGATTAGCTCATATAGGTGTGATTTCACTGTCTAGCTTTCTAGAGTTCAAGATATAGCTTACAAAGTTAAGGTCATATCTCATCCCCATAGAGCTTGGAATGCTACATCAGATCTTTCAGTGTCATATCTGAAAAGAACATAGGAAATAATCTAGCCCATCATCTTATCTAAAATTAGGGAAACCAAAGCCAAGAGAGGTGGTAGAGACGGAGACAAGAGTTGACAGCAAACACTTTGGCCCATTGCCGGAGTCTGTGGATGTTTTAGGCAGTGATCCTCCTGGAGCATTATCAGTACCTAATGGTTAAGAATAAATACATGAGATTTCTCAGGATAAACTGAGACACATTCTCACTTTCCATTTATTTCTCTTAAAGAGCTGCCCTTTATCCAAGTGCCTCGCCTTCCAGGTGGACTTTCTCCAGGACTTCCTGCTGAACATACTCTAAAATTAGGCCACGTAGACTCATACTACTGTAAGTGGGAAAGAAATAAAAGCATTCTTGCTGGCTGCAGTGGCCACTGTCACCAGAATGGAAAGGACCCATTTGAATTGTCTCAGCCAAACAATCAACACACACGAGTAGTTGCTAGCGTAGCCTCTAGACAGTGTAGAACTTGAAAGATTATTCAGTGACTGAGTCAGCCCTTTTATTTCCTAGAACCAGAAACTCAAGTACATCAGAGTTCAAGGTCTTCTTCAAAGCACACAGCCAATAAAGGACCCCAGACTTTACTGTCCACATTCTGGGTTAAAACATCTGGGGTGCACCTCTGAGTCCTGCCCTGTGGGGATGGCAAACTCTATTTCTTCACCATGGAAAGAATGAGTACCACTTTTTAAAAATGTGCCTCTACAGCATAATAAGTGTAAACTGATAAATATCTAACAATGATCACAAGTGACATACTGAGGCATGTGCCAAAGTATATGAGTAATTTCAGGCTTTCAATGTTAACACACGCCCTAAGGTATAGGTGTTACATCTGTTGCACAACCTTCCTGCTTTTTCAAAGCGAGTTTAAATATTCATGAGTATCAGAAAATGCATGCTTGTTTTGAAATAAATTATTAATCAGGCTGTCACCCAAAAAAATTTTTTTTTCAATTTACAAAACATAAATTTAAACCCCAAATAATCACATTATATTTGAAGAGCATGTCTGCGGTCATATAATCCCATGTAGCGTTGTCACATGGACATGTTATTTTACAGCAATCACTTTATATTCCTGCATTTACAGTTAGAGGCACTGAGAGAGATAGTAATCGTAAGTAACCATGAAACTAAGCAAAGCCACTGTTGATTATGGAGCTTAAGGCTGAGAGGTTGTTGTGAATGATCACACCTCACTCTTGCAGCTATCACAATGAGCGACCATTTTCCAAAGCCTTTTCCAGGTTTCAGACTGCAGCACCTTTGATTTCTTTTTTGAACTCTTTGAGAAAGTAGTCACAAAGAGCCTTGGCAGGAGGACAGGAGGAAAGAGGTCATGATCCTTTTTCTTAATGGAAATCTAGTTGATAAAATAGATGAAAATGGCACCCCAGAGGTGATCGCTTCAAACACAAATAATTCTGTATGCCTATATGTTTATATTTGTGAAGATGATAATCGTGTTGGCCTTTAAGCTGTGGTACTACCTGATTTTTTTTGAAAAAAGGTTTCACTTAAAATACTTAAATGGGAAGTCATTAATTTTTAAATTTATAATTTTACTTGTTAGTTTCTTTGATTTAAATATAAAAACACCTAGGGCTGGGAGTATAGCTCGGTGGCACAGCATCTGCCTGGCAAGCACAAGGTCCTGAGTTCAATTCCTGGAACAAAAGAACAAATTAAATAAATATAAAAATACCTAAAATGTTCCAGTGGAGAAAACATTTTCATTTGATTATATATATATGGTCCTTCCCCCTAAATATTCTATTTTTTGCTTTTACAGAAGATGTTTTAGTTATATATATTTTTGGAATGGTGGAGGAAATTTTGACAAATATCATATAAGACAAAATAAAGTATTATGTAGGTTTTAATTGAAGACAATGACTTGAATCTTCTAAACTTGGAGACACATTTCCTTGCGCGCTCTTCAGTATTGTTGCAGTGGCCGTGTCTATGCTAACCATTTTCCTATTTCATCCCATTGCACTAGTTTGGGTGCATTTCCCTTGGGAAATAGTGCAGCGTGCTCAGGTCAGAATACCATGCTGTAAACATTGCCAAAGTAAATGCAACCTGGCCTTTTCCTGTTGGTTCATCTCAGATGAGCGCATTTCTAAATTAATCATAAACCAAACTCATGTATTTTTAAATACCTTTACCGTAGCAGAAAGTTTTTGTATGGGTTAAGGGAGGTTTTCAGTTTCTTTTTGGAGTCACACATGACTGTAGCCCAAGGGTGAGCTCCTCCAGTGAACGCCATCCTTACCTCTGTGACTCTCCCTTCTTATTAGCCTTGCCCCTCTTAATAACAAGGGCGGCATGCTCCCCCCTCCGGCAGGCTTCTAATGAGGCACTTGAAATGTGGAGAAACGGTGCAAGCTTGGGCTAGTTGTTGCTTCAAAGCAAGCAATGACTGGGGGATATTTAAAAAGAAAAACAAGACTCGTGCAGAGAATCCTCCACTTCATTTAAAACAAAGACACGAACTGGTAATCCCAGTGATTGGGATCTGCCCAGGAACGTGTGGCTGCACCTGGAAGAAGGAATTCATCTCTCCGTACACATGTCTAGAGCCGGCGCTTGAAGGAACCGCAGTGTAGATGGAGCTGAAAGGGGTACTGGGTGCCCTTCGAAGCTGCCTGTAGAGGGAGAAGCGCTTTGTTGGCACTCACGTGCTCTTAAATAATTTTAAGGTAGGCTTTGATCAAGACATGGGACTTCTGTCTTTTACTCCAGTATGATTCATGTGCTATAGGTGCTGGGTTTAAAAGGAGAAAAGAATGTATTTGCTGCTATTTCTTTACATCCCATGATTCAATTTGTATGGAGAAAAGTATTTTTAAAATACATTGTAGAAGGAGGAAAAGAGCATTGCAAAGATAGTAGTTTTAACCTCTGCAGTACTTTTTTTCCCCCTAGACTGCATATACATTGTGTTTCCCTTGCTGAGCATGTTTAAAGGCAGGGAAGGAGGGAGGGAGAAGGAGTGAGAGAGAGACAGAGACTGTCGGAGAGAGTCAGAGAGGGAGACAGAGACAGAAAGACATAGAGAGAGGTGTGTGTGTGTGTGTGTGTGTGTGTGTGTGTGTGTGTGTGTGTGGTCATGCTCGCATTCATTAGATAAGCAGCAAACCAGATGTTTGGGCAAATCAAACAATTAAATATTTAAATATTAACCAAATCTCTTTGAACATATTGTAAATGTTGGGGGTTTATTATTTCTGAAAGCATCGGTTTTCCATGCTCGGAATCTTGAAAGAAAGTTCTCGTTACCTGATATTTATGGGTGGAAAGCTACACAGAAAGAATAACACTTTCCTGAGCAACAAGACAAGGAAAGAAAAGCTGAAGTCATTCTTGCTTCTTCTTTTCCTTCTTTATATCTGGCTATTTTGGGGTGAGAGGACTTGGCTTATGGTTAAAGAAAAAATTGCTGGGTTGTCTGTTCATGGCTTTTACCTGATCTGTAAGAACAGACAGAGGTAAAGGCCAGAGTCAGACTTCTTTTGTCTGCTACAGTTATGGATGTTTTTGATTCCAGGAATATTCAGGACAGATCACTCCTCAAAGTGTACAACAAGGATCCTTCGCATGCATTTAATCACACACCAAAAACTTTGAATGGAGACATGAGGGTAAGCATTGCGACTCTGTTTTTACCTGTATCAGGCGGGTCAAATCATCCCTCTTCCTGTTCCTATTTCCCATATAGTCACAGCCCACCCCCCATCACAACCCCCCCACCCATGTCCTGGTTTCTTGGGTTCTCCTGACTCATCCTGTTTGGTGACTCATTGTTTGTCCTTTGGTAGAGAAATAATATTTCCTGGTCATCAGGAGCAAAGTGGTTAAAATGAGGCTTGGTACACTTTAATTCTCCATTAAGCTTGGAGATGGATTGATTGATGGATTGATTGATTGATTGATTGGTTGATGTGCTGGGGATTGCACCCAGGGTCTCCCACATTCTAGGTAAGTTCTCTACCACTGAGCTGCATCCCCCGCTCTTAAGCATAGAACTTAGCTATATTCTCCCTCCAAGGAGATTCTGAAAATCTTCCCATCAAAGGATCCTGAACTCAAGTCCCTAGTACACAAACTGACTTAAAGGGCTTCTGGCCACTTTTTTCTCTGATGTAAACAGAACTAACATAAATAAACCAAAATGCACAAGCTGCATGGAAAATCTGCTCATGTTCTTACATTGTCCAAGTCCTAGCATTCTTACTCAATAACTCACCTCCTAATTCAGGACTATTCACTGCTGTGCTGCATTAAATATTAGCAAATCTTCCCTGAACCATGTTTAGGGCAGAGTACAAACATCTGTGTGATTTGGGAGCTGAAATGTTCTAGCTTTAGGTCATCTCAGGAGATTATCCAAACATTCACAGGGATGTTTTGAGGGAAAAAGAAAAAAAGCAGATTTTAAAATCATATTAATGCAGGTCCTCTAGAAAGGGATTGAGTTTCTAGCAAGAATGCTACATTCCTCCCAAATAAAAATTGGAGGGTAAATACCAGATTAGTTTCTCAGCTGTACACACACATTTAGAAGATACTGTGCCACTTTGTATCATTTTTCTGTGGATTAGCCATCAGCTGGTTGCTAGAGTTTAACTAGAAAAATAAAAAATGAATGAATTTTACTGCCAAAAACAACCAGGGTGTGTTCTGTCTTGGTTACAGTGTTATTCCTGAGTGACGTGTGCTCTACTTCCTGATAGCATGTATTAGTTTCCTATTGCTGCAGTAACAAAGTGTGATAAATGTAGTGGCTTAAAATACCACAGAGTCACAATGCTACAGTTCTAGAGTCTGCAGGCTGACATGCATCTCACTGCTCTGAGATGAGGGCACACTTGTACAGCCAAGTTCTTTTCTGAAGGCTCTAGAGAGAATCTATTTCTCATTTTTATTTTTCCCCATCTTGTAGAAGTCACAAACATTGATTTGGAGGCCCCTTCCTCTATCTTCAGCCTCAGAAAAAAAATAGCATCCCTCTGACACTGCTTCCTTTGTCTACTTTTAGCACCCACACGGGGCCTAACCTACACGCCAGGAAAAAAAAAAAAATCTCCTTACTTTAAGGTGAGCTGATTAGCAACCTTCATCTATCTTTTCTATGTAATCTAACACAGGCACAGGTCCAGGGGATTAGGTTGCAGATGTTTTGGGGATCATGGTTCTTCCACACAGGCTACATGAATTTAAAACCAAGAAAGAAGTCTGAGGGTCCAGCTGGAAGGATTTCTGTGAAATTCTGAATTGGAACGTGAGTGATGACAAAGTAGAACCACAGCCTATACATTTGGAGGGAAAGATCTCTTACATTCTCAACTTTGTTTTAATGTCTAAAATGATGTGTGATTAGAGTTGAAGGCTGTGCTGCCCATTGAAAAAATCTAGGATTTTGAGGCTTGCTTTTAGCGAGTTACACTTTAAATGTAAACCAGAGCCACATAAAGAGAGATTGAGTCATGCCAATCAGGGAGCATGGACAAACATTATGAGACGCTTTGCCTTTTATTACAGTGCTTTGCTCGTTCTAGGTGACATTCATAAGCGCTTTGGCCCCCATGAATGCCCTTTTTTTATATGTCTAGCCTTTGAACTGTAGTTCTGTCATGCTCAAAGCTATTCCCAGACCATCAGCACCCCACACTTGGCTTTGCAATTCTTGTTTATGGCTGGCGAGGACACATGTTTTAACTCTTAAGCAGATGTGATGCCTCCACAAGGACCCACCGTGAGGACTGAGAACATCAAATGTTAACCATACGCACACAGCCGTTTAGAAGGCAGGACTTCTGAGATGTGTCTCAAGGAGGTGGTTCTGTTTTTACTTGTAGATGAAACAATAGGGATCACTCTCTGAGTTCTCCACAGTCTACTTTAGATACTAGTCATTCATGGGAGAAAAACAACTGTTGTCTCAAATGAGGGCATAGCGTATGTCACCATCTATCCAATGGGAGAGCCCTGTGTGTCAGTGAAGACTACTTAGAAATAAATAGTAAGTGTAACTTGGCCCCTATTCACCGATTACAGAAATTTAAAGACATGGAATTCCTTGCGCCTTACCTTTTGGCTCTTGAAGTTGGGATTCTCTCTCCTCCCCCAATAAACATGTCTGCATTGTGAGGAAAGGACAGGAAGTCTTGCTGAGCCCTGCCTGTAGCCCAGCTGTAAAGCCCTTTGCTCATGGTGAAGAGCAGAAATAGAGGACAGAGACTGGTTGTCATAGACTAAACCAAGTTGCAATGGATTTAGGGGCCTCCATTCTCATGTATGTCTGCAGTGTGAGTGTGGCCTTGAAGGTAACCACTCGCATGCATCCGTCACTGCAGCCCTGGCCGTGATGTAATTAGACTTTGCTCCTCAGCCCCCAGAGACAGCCTGGGTCGGATCTCCCAGCCGGCCGCTTGTTACCAATAAACATGCATCTGAGAAAGACATCTGTAAGAACAAGCTGAGTGGCCACACCAGCCATACCAAAACTCTGCTGTATTCTCTGAGACTTTCCTTAAACAATGAACATTGCATCTGGCCTTTAAATGAGAACAAAGCATAATCCTGCACATCTAAAATTTACAGGTAGTTCTCCCAGAACACTTTCCAAATGGTGTTCCCCAAGAAACATGTTAGACTGAAGTATTAATCCGGAGGTTCTGGAATTGAGCCTGTGCTTGGGATTTATGCTTGGTAGGGAAGATATGTGTCTAGTTTTCCACTTAGAGTCTAGCTGAGCATTTCTGAGGCCAGTCTATCTAATGAGACTTGTGGTTTTCAGCTGGAATTGAGCACATCCAGCTCTTGATTCTTTACCATGGGTGCTAGTCACTCGGCTGTATTATAATTGCTCGGCTTTTGGTTCCTTACATCACGTAGTACGTCTGATAATTCAGTTCCCAAGGGACTGAGTTCACTTTATGGATCGAGCCCTTTTGCACAAATTACACGTACACTCACAAGTTTTTCATTCATAATTGTGCATTCATAAATGAACCCTTCCATTCTGTAGCTCGCAAAGATGACCGGTAACTCCCTCGTCACCAAACCTGATGACGCTTTCATGGTTTTGGGTTTTTTCCAGTTTCTCATGTTCATGGCAATTACTTCCCAAGATTCTTTGCTCTTGTAATTTATTGTTCTCTCTCTTCTCCTTCTGTTATTTCACTTGCGTGTCTCTAATTTCTACTTCTGTGCAGACAACTGCCAGATTTGCATTGCAGACAACTGCCAGATTTGCATTTAGAACACACTCCCTAGACTTAGCCCTGGGTTTTAAATCATTTCGTAATATTCCAATCAGCCACTGCCTCCCAGTCCTCTTCCTTCTGAACTTTGTGTTTGGCACTAGGGACTGGTCTCCTTAGCAACCACTGGCTTCCAGGACACTAACGTGACTGAATTCCTTGTTTGCATTCAAACCTGTTAGGGTTTTGAGTTTACCCTTCTTTTTCCTCATGGCACCAAACCGTCTTCAGGATGCTCAGGCCGGCTTTACCAGTTTTGGGGTCAGAGTGTTTATTTGTTTTGTTTTGGGTTTGGGGTTGGCTCTTTTTTATCTGAACCTTTGCACTTGTGATTCTTACTCTTACTACTGATTTCTTCTTTTCTTTGTAATGGTTCTGGGGATCAAACCCAAGGACTTACCACTAAGCTACACCCAACTCTTTTTGTTTTGTTTTGTTGTTATCTTGAGACAGGGTCTTGCTAAGTTGCTGAGGCTGAACTCTACTTTGCGATTCTCCGACCTCAGCCTCCCAGAGTGCTACAGCTACAGGCATGTGCACCACCCTCTGCTCTTGCCACAATTTATTATTATCATGTCAATGTGAACAACCTTTAGACTATGTCCCCATTTCTGGCATTTCTACAGTCCAAAACTCAAATGTTCAGCTTCTAAGTGGTCACATCAGTATTTTGAATATTTCCAGTGTATCCAGTTGAAGACAAAATTCCTAGTCTACTGCTTTCCCTAAGCCTTTATCCTGTTTGATCATCCTTTGAAGGATGAAGGATTTAATGGCTGTGTGTGTGTATGCACATGCATGTGCACATGCACATACATTGATGTTTTGGCAGATGGGAGGGGTATAATTTAAAATGTCAGTTATCAGTGGTTCTTTTCTTGTCTGACTCTTGTTCACCAACACATGCACCAGTCACCAGATCCTGCTCATTCCATTTTGCAAGGTCCCATTTCCCTGGTGTCCTGGCAGTAGCTGACTGGCTTGTGCATTTATCCCTGAGATAAAATTTTGAGGCAGGCATTGGTGTAAAGTTCTATATTTACAACTGATGAAATAGTTGCTGATGTTGAGAAATTTTCCCCAGGCCATCTAGCTAGAGAGAATCAGAGCTGATATTTGAACCAGGTGGCTTCATTCCAGATCTTAGCAGCCTTCTGCTGCTACAGGTATAGCACTCACTATTTCTCAACCACATCATCTCCCAGTTCTTACTCTGATGTCAACTCTTGCTGTTCTGGGTGTCTGAAATGCCTTCTCATGCCCTACATATCTGCCCAAAGATATGTTGAGTGTGTTGCCCAAAGAGTCCTGTGCTAGAAGCTTGGTCCCCAGTGTAACAGTGATGAGAGGTATGGAATCCTTAGGTGGAAGCACTG